GTTTACGTTGTTGGGTCAGATCCTCAAAGCTCTTTTCTTCTGTCTCTACATACTGTCATACATCCAATTTTTGAACTGTTTTGCTTCACAAGAAAAGGGGTTTCTCATTTAAGGTAAATATTAAATGTAATATTTAACAAATAGATCTCATTTTTCCTTGCGTGTGTACTCTAATAGATACACAGATGACGTCAAAATGTAGTGAGAACAAAAAAGTACGCACGAGACGCAGTCGAGTGCGTGACTGTTGTTCTCACTACATGTTGACGTCATCTGTGTATCTATTAGAGTACACACGCACGGAAAAATGAGATCTATTTGTTTTATACAACAAACAATTAGTTTTGACGTAATCCGTGTATCTATACTTTTGATAACACACAAAAGCCAACCAATCAAAACGTCTGATTTTACTGAAAAGTTGTATAAAAATATTTATCATATAATTATCTAGATGAAATACCTATATTTCTCCATTTCATAAAGTTGATATTTTCACTAGTGAAATAACACATTCGAGGTTTCTCTATATAGTGGAAGTAAGAAAAAAGCTATTTTACGGCATAATTTGCTTTCGTATGCAATTATATGATAAACAGAATATGGGCACTCAGAAATATGAATTTTTATCTTCTCGTGTTGGTGAAAATCGCTACGCTCACTCGTGAGAGATCTTTTCGACACTCAAAGATAAAATCTGTATTTTTGTGCGCCCATGTAATGTCCTCTATATTATATAATTATATCTGTGAAACACTTAAAAAAAATGCAGTACAGTTGACTCCCTTTTAAAGACCACTCTCGTAAGCGACCATATCCCGTATGCGACCACGTTTTAAATTTCCCGTTATAATTGTTTCCCATATAAACTCTAAAGAAAACTCTCTAGTAAGCGTGTAATTTAAATTCCATGGTCAACTATTATTTCAGATCATTTTGTCAAGAAATACTTGTTAGTTATCTAAAGCATATAGATAGTGGGTTGGCTTTAAAAACTCTTTATGTTCTGGCTTATGGTGAGCACCCCCCTGACAAACTACTTGATCACCCCCATGGAGAACCGTCTGAGGCTGTCATAAAGGGGGAAGCATCGGACTCTTCAACGAAGCAGCACGAATCAGCCTCATCCAGTAATAATAATCAAAGAATAAATGAAAATACCACCAAGCCTTCTACTCCAATCAAAAGCGAGCATTCTCAGCACTATGGCAACCATCTGCCAACGTTAATGAGGCAGGAATATTCATATTGTTATGGTGACAGTGGTGGCATTGTCGTCAAGCTATGCCATGATGCAACACCGTCGTTCGATGACGTCATGCAGAGATTGACAGGTGGTGATGACGTCATGATGCATGAGGTTCGAGCGTCGTGTTTGGTGGAGTTGTTGGTTGGGATTAAGAACGATGTGCTAGCTGGGGAGTTTTTTTTACACTTGATGTCAAAGCTTACTGGAATTGTTGGTAATGGCGATGAGACATCAGTCACAGGTATTATATTGATTATATTGAGATTTTGATGTATCAATCAATTGAATCACGGCTCTCCGGGTACCGGGCAATACCGGGGAAGGTCTCGACGTTTCCCGGATATTAGAGGCTAAAAAAGGCGGCTAAACAGATCGGTGGAAACTAGCGGTAAACTAGTGTGAGCTGTGTCGGTGTTTCTAAAGAAACAGTTGTGTAAAAAGATTAAGTTAACACCTTGAAAATGTAGGTGAAACAACTTAGTAACGTTTCGGACGTTAATCCTTCTTCAGCTAAACAGGCGTAGCTAATAAAAGTCGAAAAAGCCGTCCATGTTTTTTACGTTTTAACCGACTAGTTTATTTCGTTTTCCAAATTAAAATTTTATTGAGTTAATTGTATCATAAAATGTTCCTGACCAAACTAATCAATTTTAGAGGAGATAGCTGACCTTCAAGTCTACGACAGACAAGCAGACGTCAATCAAAAGAGTCTCGTGACTCTTCAACTAGTTGCTGTCATGTGTGATAAGCTTGGACCGTCAATTCTTCAAAATGGTTGCCATATGCTTGCTTTCATCAAATCTACACTACAGCGAGGCTGCATTTCATCTGATTCTGAGCCTCTGGAAGAAGCTTTGGCCTCAGAGACGTTAACTATGGCTTTTGGGATGTTGTCAGCTATTTTGGGTGGTGCAACAAAGGTTTGTTTTCATTTCATTGTGTTATGTGTTAACTTTTTCTTTCGATTCCTATTTCCCATTTCACCATTACGTTTCTTTCTTTCTTTCATTAATGGGTTAATGGGTTTTGCATGCTAATATTTCGGGTGTTGTAACTCCAAAGGTGTTACTTTCGTTTTTTTTTTCCATTTTATGAGTTTTGTGAGTTTTTCGTGGACTTTGGGGATTAATTTTGCAGACTTAAGAGTATTTCAAGAACTCAATAGACTTCAGAACCTTTTACGTCACTACTTGATTTTCATTGTTGGATCAGTTTCAAAAGAAAACAAAAGAAATCCGCCATGTTTTGTCCCAAACATGGCCTACAATGCATTGCGTATACGGTACATGACGTAAAAGCTGCAGAGGTCTATTTCCCATGATGCCTTTTTTTAAATGGCGTCGACCCGCAATTTCATTTCAATATGAGTTGCCAATCTTTTCGACAAACCTGTCTGAAAAACCTGTTTTTTATATCCAAGGTCGAAGCAAAAGAAAGGAAGCTGCTCGAAGAGTTGATGCCTTTGCTGGAGATTCTGTCTTTACGTCACAATGATCCTAAGGTTAAAGAAATGGCCAATGATCTTCGTATTGCCATAGCAACGCATGGAGCTGTTTGGAGCGAGCAGATGAAGCGAGCAGCAGAGAATCTTGGGAAGAGGGAGGACGGGAAATCAGGTGGGTGTCAAGGACAGGCAAATGAGGGGGAGTTAGGCGGGGGGATGTAAACCTCTCATTTGCCCCCAAATCTATGGCACTACTCCCCTTCCTTCGNGTTTTTTTTTTCCATTTTATGAGTTTTGTGAGTTTTTCGTGGACTTTGGGGATTAATTTTGCAGACTTAAGAGTATTTCAAGAACTCAATAGACTTCAGAACCTTTTACGTCACTACTTGATTTTCATTGTTGGATCAGTTTCAAAAGAAAACAAAAGAAATCCGCCATGTTTTGTCCCAAACATGGCCTACAATGCATTGCGTATACGGTACATGACGTAAAAGCTGCAGAGGTCTATTTCCCATGATGCCTTTTTTTAAATGGCGTCGACCCGCAATTTCATTTCAATATGAGTTGCCAATCTTTTCGACAAACCTGTTTGAAAAACCTGTTTTTTATATCCAAGGTCGAAGCAAAAGAAAGGAAGCTGCTCGAAGAGTTGATGCCTTTGCTGGAGATTCTGTCTTTACGTCACAATGATCCTAAGGTTAAAGAAATGGCCAATGATCTTCGTATTGCCATAGCAACGCATGGAGCTGTTTGGAGCGAGCAGATGAAGCGAGCAGCAGAGAATCTTGGGAAGAGGGAGGACGGGAAATCAGGTGGGTGTCAAGGACAGGCAAATGAGGGGGAGTTAGGCGGGGGGATGTAAACCTCTCATTTGCCCCCAAATCTATGGCACTACTCCCCTTCCTTCGTACCTTTTGTCGGACCTGCTAATATCTTGGATGTGTGTGTCAAAGCTATTTCTGCAGGAGTATTTTTTCTCACAGAGAAAATATCTTAATTGAAATGTGGACTTCACACAGACTGTCCCTAAGCTCTATACCTAATTCAATTCATTCAAATTATTCTGCTATTTAATAGACAAACCCTCAAAGCCAACACCTGATGATGTCACGTTTGACGAAACCTTCCGTGAATTGTGTGACCCTCTGGTCCCAGTACGTGGTCACGCAATCATAACGTTAGCCAAACTTCTCCACAAGAGAAACAACAGAGCCTTGTCACAGACGGATACCCTGCTTAAAATCTTCTTGGATCAGTTGTCACACGATGATTCTTATATATACTTAGCGGCTGTCCAAGGACTGGCTGCTTTGTCGTCTATAAAGACCGATGTAGTACTGCCGCATCTGGCCAGGGAGTTCGCTACTTGTCGGAGAGGGGCTGGGAAGGAGACAAATGGTGAGGAGAATTCCGTTGCTTGATTTATTGCTTTAAAGGACAATGGTCAACCGGCATTCCATGCGGTCGTGTTTTAGATTTGAGGTGATTTCGAATATCCATTCGCAATCTGTCTCCATCCATCGGTTTAAAAGTCGAATCTTACTCCATTTATAAAGGAATCACTGAAAAAAAACTCTTGCAAGAAACCATGGAAGTTTACTATACGGAGAGTAGCCTTTTTAAAGGTCTTTTTCTTAAAGACCTCGTTTCGTCCCCAGTGCCCTGGTTGACAATTGTGGCACATCACGCCACTTTTGAGTCGTGCATTTTTTTTTTTTCAACATAAACAAAAGCTCGTAAAGGATGCCGGTAGATCGCCGCCATGATGTTTGAATGAACATGTCTGTTGACMATTTAGCATGTATGAGCCTCTATTCCAAGCTAGTTCCAATCTCGTGRCCGTGAATACGAATGCGATTTTTCCATATTTTTTATTCAAYAGRCTCAACCGCATCCCAGCGGTCACCAGACACAAAAATAAAACTCGGCGAAGTACTTGTGAAGGCCGTGAGAGAGTGTGGCGAGYTAGTCCCRCGCTACTCTCAGCTTCTGTTATCCTCGCTGCTGTCTGGTGTTCATGACACGGATGAGCTCGTGAGGGCAAGCAGTCTCTCCAACATTGGTGAAGTGTGCAAGTTATTGAGATTTTCAATTGGACCTATTATAAATGAGGTAAGTTTGAAATTTTACGTCTCYKTTCTATTCTCAAAATGGTTTACATTTATTATTTATCCGTATCAAGCGCCATTTATAAATACCGTTGTAAAAAATCTCCTCTTCATGTAATATAGTAAAATATTAGTGTGAGAACTTTAAGTATAATTTAAAACTGCGGGCTGCAATCAGTTTTAAATTATACAAAAAGCGAGCCCATAAATGTCGGATGCGAATATTTTATATTGCTTATCAAATTACAACATAAGCTCAGGCATATTTTGCAAAAAAAATTCAAGATAAAAGCAGAGAACGCAAATCAGGACAATTCTCTTGCTTAGTCGTATGAGATCAAGATGCGGTTAAGGCAATGATTTCCCATTGTGTTTACCTTATAAATTATTAATGAATTTGATAAATATATATACAGTGAACAAAATGAAAATAAACCATTTTGAGAAGTAAAATTTTATTTCCAGTAAATTTAAAGGCATTGCCTGGGCTTCGTGTGTTATGCATGCCTGCGAGTTTCTTGACTCAAGTTTCTGCTTTACCTTTTGCGTTATGTTGTTTTCCATAGATTTTTAACTGTCTGAGCTCCGTACTTAACACCGACAAGTCCGACCACGTTAGAAGAGCTGCTGTTCTTGTCGCTACGTTACTGTTACGTGGATTAGGTAAAGACGCAATAGAGGCCCTCGGTTCCTCTCTAAGGGACTTATACCACATGATCAAGCTTGTGGAAGCGTGTGACAAGGATGAAATAACGCGTGAACATGCGCAGCAAGCGCTTTGTGAGCTGGATACCATTATGAAGGACTTTTTGTTTCCAAAACAGACTTTTAGCAAGAAAATCCAAGTACTACCTTAAAGATACTCTATTTAAATAAGTAAGGCTTGATTAAAACGATGTCACTTAACGTAATATAAGCAACAACCTACTCTATATTGTATCCCATATGTTAAATGGCCATGGTCCAACGGCATCCCTTTGGAGATTGTGCCTTAGGTTTGAACTAGAGCAAACGCAGGAAAAGCATGAAATAACGTCAAACTAAATACCAACAAATAGCGGCTATTTAGAAACAATTTGCCAGCACCAATGAACCAGAACACAATGAAGATGAGTACACATGGGACCATTTTTCATTCATCTTTATTGTGCTCTGGTTCATTGATACTGACAATTTGTCTCTAAATAGGCGCTTTCTGTTAGTATTTAGTTTGATTTTATTTCATGCTTTTCCTGCGCTTACTTTAATAAAAATACATCGTAAAATACGCATAAACTTACTCTTTATT